TATGATCCCAGAGTCCCAGAATCGAGTTCCGCATTGGGTCCCTGCATGGAGCCTGCTGCTCCCTCTGCCTGTGTCTCTGCCTCTCTCTCTCTCTCTCTCTCATTAATAAATAAATAAAATCTGTCTAAAAAAAAAAAGGAAAATGATTAGTTCCAAACCTATGTAAAAAGCATTAGTCTGTCTGCCCCAGATCCATCTATATTTTAATTAAATGTCTTATTGCTCAAACAACTGTTTTTTTTTTCAAACAACTGTTAATCAGATATTCCCTAACGTGAAGCCAAATATATTCTAATACCTTATCCTGAAATTTCACTTAAGTTTACTAATTTATTGACATAAAGTTTATAGTAATTTCTATAATATTTAAAGACTTTAATGTAAGAGAATTATGTCTCCCTTTTCATTCCTGGTATGATTCATATGTAATCTTTTTTTTTAACACTGATATTTTATTAAAAAGTTGATTTAAGGGATGCCTGGGTGGCTCAGTGGTTGAGTGTCTGCTTTTGGCTCAGGTCCTGGGATCGAGTCCCGTATCGAGCTCCCCGCAGGGAGCCTGCTTCTTCCTCTGCCTATGTCTCTGCCTCTCTCTGTGTGTCTCATGAGTAAATAAAATCTTTAAAAAGATTTTTTTTTTTAAGTTGAGTTAAGCCTCTGCAATGGTGACTTCAACCTCAACTAACTCCTGGCCCAATACTGATGGAAGTAATCCGCTTAACAATCTCAGGACTGTGCAAATCAATGAATAACTTGTAGATTCTCACCTGAAAACCATCCCAAGTCTTGGAACTTTCACCAGAAGTTTTCCTTGTAGTGATTCTGAGTCTCGCTTGGCAACTGAACTGGTCCTGTCACGTTGAGATTCTTTTCCTTTGCGCCTCTGATCAAGTCAGCACATACCTTCTCCAAAGATTTTACATTGCAGCTGGTTAGAGTAATCCTAATTCAGTGAATTGCCAGCTCTGGTTCCATGGTGTCTTCCCTAGTGTCTTTAAAAGCCATGGCTGCAGCATGGCTTCCTAATGGACTTGTTCCTTGGCAACAGAGAACAGCAGTGAGGCAGAAGCAGGAACAGGGCATCCAAAGTTCTGCTGTAGCTGTGACTACATCTTTCTAAAGAGCCATATGTAATCTTATTTGTTCATTATCGATCTTGTTATAAGTTTGTCTATTTTTTTAAAAGATTCATTTATTCATGAGAGACACACACAGAGAGAGGCAGAGACATAGCAAAGAGAGAAGCAGGCACCTCGAGGGGAGCCTGATGTGGGACTCAATTTTAACTCCTGCTTTGTCTTTATAGATCCCTCTATGGTGTCATCTCTATTTTGATAATTTTTGTTTTTACCTGTGTTATTTCTCCGATATGCTTTCTTTAATATTACTCTGCTTTTCAAGATAATTTCTTTCTTTTTAAAAAGATTTTACTTATTTATTTGAAGGAGAAAAAGAAAGAGTGAGCAAGAGAGAGCTCAAAGCAGGGTGCGGGGCAGAGGGAGAAGCAGATTTCTTGCTGAACTGGGAGCTCCATGCAGGGCTCCATTCAGTGACTCTGGGATCAGGACCTGAGATGAAGGCAGACAACTGACCGAGCCACTCTAAGATCACTTCTTGTTCTTTTCTGATTTGCAATTAAACTGTGATGTTTCTGTTGAATTTGATTTTATTTATAAATTCTTTTTTCAATTTGGGGGAGCTTTCTGGATCTGAGGATTGATCTCTCAACAACCCTGAAAAATTCCTAGTCATTTTATCTTCAAATATTGCTTCATCCCCAATCTCTCCATTATCTCCTTCTGGAACTCCACTGAGCTATATGTTTGACTTTTTTATTCAGTCTTCCATTTTTTCTTAACCCTTCATTCATATTTTCTGTCTTTGAATCCATGGACAGCATTCTGGGTAAATTCTTTGGATCCATTTTATACTGCACTGGTTCTTTTTTTCAATTGTGTCCATTCTACTGTATAATCAGTCCTTGACAATTTAAATAACATCATGTATTTTTTATTTATAGAAGTTCTACTTTGTTCTTTTAAAAAAAATCTGCTTAGGGATCCCTGGGTGGCACAGTGGTTTAGCGCCTGCCTTTGGCCCAGGGCGTGATCCTGGAGACCCAGGATCGAATCCCACGTCGGGCTCCCAGTGCATGGAGCCTGCTTCTCCCTCTGCCTGTGTCTCTGCCTCTCTCTCTCTCTCTCTGTGTGACTATCATAAATAAATAAATAAAAAGAATTTAAAAAAAAATAAGCTCTTCCTAAGAAAGTATTTGCTTCTACCAATTATCAAATTTCTACTTAAATTTTTTCTAACCACACAAGCAACAGAAATTCCAACCAAAACCCTTTGTGAGTACTAGCATATTATTTATCTATTGCATAACAAATTGCATATCTTAGCAGCTGAAAGCAATAAACATTTATTATCTTTAAATTGCCTCTGTAGGGACGCCTGGGTGGCTCAGTGGTTGAGCATCAGCCTTCGGCTCAGGTCATGCATGATCCCAGGTTCCAGGATCAAGTCCTGCATTGGGCCCCTGAGGGGAGCCTGTTTCTCCCTTCGCCTATGTCTGTGCCAGTCTCCTCTCTGTGTCTCTCATGAATAAATAAATAAATAAATAAATAAATAAATAAATAAATAAATAAAATCTTTTTTTAAAAAAAAAATTAAGGGGGCAGCCCGGGTGGCTCAGTGGTTTATTATTTTTTGTCCCCCCCCCCCCTTTTTTTTTTGGCTCAGTGGTTTAGTGCCACCTTCAGCCCAGGGCCTGATCCTGGAGATCCGGGATTGAGTCCCATGTCAGGCTCCCTGCATGGAGCCTGCTTCTCCCTCTGCTTGTGCCTCTGTCTCTGTCTCTCTCTCTGTGTGTCTCTCATGAATAAATAAAAATCTTAAAAAAAATAAAAATTAAAAAATAAAAAAAATTTAGGGACGTCTGGGTGGCTCAGCGGTTGGGAGTCTGCCTTTGGCTCAAGGTGTGATCCCAGATGCCCTGAATCGAGTCCCGCATCAGGATATTTGCATGGAGCCTGCCTCTCCTCCCTCTGTCTGTGTCTCTGCCTCTCTTCCTGTGTCTCTCATGAATAAATAAGTAAAATCTCTAAACAAAAAGTAATAATAAAAATAAATTTTAAGGGATCCCTGGGTGGCGCAGTGGTTTGGCGCCTGCCTTTGGCCCAGGGCGCGATCCTGGAGACCCGGGATCGAATCCCACGTCGGGCTCCCGGTGCATGGAGCCTGCTTCTCCCTCTGCCTGTGTCTCTGCCTCTCTCTCTCTCTCTCTCATGTGACTATCATAAATAAATAAAAATCAAAAAAAAATTAAAAATAAATAAATTTTAAAAAAGTTTAAGTGGTCTCTGTAGAATCTGGGGGTAATTTAGGTGAGTAGTTTTAGCTCAGGGTCTCACTTGAGGTTGCGTATAAGATGCCAGGAAGGAGCAACCATCTAAAGCCTTAGCTTCACTGGAGCTGAAGGATATACTTCCAAGGTGGCTTACTCAAAAGCCTGACAAGTTAATGCTGGTTGCTAAGAGGAGGCCTCAGTTCCTTGCCTCTTCATAAAACTGCTTGAGAGTCTTTGTGACATAGCAGCTGATTTCTCCCAGAATGAATGTTCCAAGAGAGAGAAACTAGAATCTTCAATATCTTCTGTGACCAAGCCATGAAACTCACACAAAGTCATCTCTGAAATATCCTATTATCTATATAAGTAAGCCATATTCAATGTAGGTAGTGACTACATTCAAGAATGGGAATACCAGGGATCCCTGGGTGGCGCAGCGGTTTGGCGCCTGGCTTTGGCCCAGGGCGCGATCCTGGAGACCCGGGATCGAATCCCACATCAGGCTCCTGGTACATGGAGCCTGCTTCTCCCTCTGCCTGTGTCTCTGCCTCTCTCTCTCTCTGTGACTATCATAAATAAATAAAAATTAAAAAAAAGATTAAAGAGTTTATTTATTTGAGAGAAAGCAATATATATATATATATATTTAGAGAGAGAGAGAGGATGAGAGAGAGAGAGAGCACTGAGTGAGGTGAGGGGCAGATGGAGAAGCCGACTCCCCTCTGAGTAGGCAGCCCAACATGGGACTCAATCCCAGGACCCTAGGATTATGAGTTGAGCTGAAGCGAGATGCGTAACCATTTCTCGTCCTGAAATATTATTTAGCAAAAATAACCATTTCTCGTCCTGAAATATTATTTAGCAAAAAAACTTTTAAATGTGTTGCTGGGCTAGCATAAAAGAAATCTCCAAAGTCGCACTATGAGTTATAAGAGAAGTTCTGGAAGTTCAATGCTCTGGCACCCACTCTGAGGTTTTCTGACCAACCCTGAAGTCTTGTATTCTACTTTGATAGCTACATGGATCACAGAACCTGCTAAGTAGATAATTTAATAGTAGGTGGCTACTTAGAGTTAGGACCCAAGGAAGGGCACCCATGGTATAAAAATTAAAAAAAAAAAAATCTTATTTTTAAAAAAATCAGTTGGCAAGGATATATACCTGGCCTCACTTTATTTGTTATTATTTTTTAAAGATTTTATTTAAGGGAAAGCACATGAGCAGGGGGAGGATCAGAGGGGGAGACATGCGGACTCCCCGTCAAGACCTGAGCCAAAGGCAGACACTTAGCAGACAGAGCCACACAGGCGTCCCTTAGCCACACTTTAAATACTTCATTGTCAAAGGCCATTTCTATCACTGCAGAAAGTTCTATCAGACGGTGCTATGTCAGATCTGACAGGAGGGGGGATTCAGTACTTCACAAATCAGGACACAACAGCAGCTCAGCTGAAACGTCTCACATTTATGACTGAACCAACGTACTGGTATAGAGGCATAGTAACAGAGAAAATCATTCCCTTGATAAGACACGTCTATTGGCCAGGTAGGAAGGATGTTTTCATATTGATAGGATAGGAACATGTGATCTCCATGCGGCTTACATATGTGTGCCAATTATGTTTGCTATTTCATGATGTGCGATGCTTCCTCATAGACCCAGCTTGGTTCTTCTCCAGTGCCTCCTCTTGGAGTTGTACCTGATTTTATTACCAGTTTTCATCCGAATCCACTGGGGAATGGGACGATTCTGCTTTTGTTTCCTGGCCAGGAATCGCTTGATTCTGAAAGTCTTGTGAGAATATATGGCGATCACAGTCAACCACATGCAACCAGGATGGCGGCGGAAGGGCCTGGCCTCACTTTAGTATTGAAAAGAATGAGGAGAAAGTTTCCTTGGATAATTTACAACAAGAAGCCATGTGTGGTGGCCAGCATCTAAGATGGTCCCAGTTTTCTCTACCTTCTGGTATTCCCATTCTTTTTTTTTTTTTTAATATATGGAAATGCAACAATTCTCCTCAAAGACATTTTATTTATTTATTTATTTTTTATTTATTTTTTTTTAAGATTTATTTATGATACTCACAGAGAGAGAGAGAGAGAGAGAGAGAGGCAGAGACACAGGCAGAGGGAGAAACGGGCTCCATGCAGGGAGCCCGACGTGGGACTTGATCTCGGGTCTCCAGGATTACTCCCTGGACTAAAAGCCACGCTAAACCACTGAGCCACTCAAGCTGCCCCTGTGAAATGGTATTAAATGAAGTTTCCATCCTACTACTGATCCTATCTACATAGTTTTATACACTCCCCAATACACGTGTCCAGTGTTAAATTTGGGGAGTATATTTCCAAATAATTTTTATATATACCTGCAAGTATATATACACAAATGTAATATATCATTACAAAAGTGGTAATCATATTAAACAATACTCAGTATTTTGAGTTATTTATTTCAACTGTGTATGTTTTCTTTTCATAAAAGTCCACGGAGACGTGTTTTAAGTTTTCCAAATGTGTGCACTTAAAATATATGTTTTTTTTTAAGATTTATTATATATTTTAGAGAGAGAGCATGGGGAAAGCGGCAGAGGGAGAGAGAAAGTGAATCTTAAGTAGATTCCCTGCTGAGCATGGAGCCTGGTGCACATCTCAATCCTATGACCCTAAAATCATGACCTGAGCCAAAATTGAGTCAGATGCCTAAGCCACCCAGGCACCCTTAAAAGATATGTTTTTATTATTCATCTCTAATTTTATCTCATTATAATCAGAAAATGTGACCAACACAGTAGTAATGTTTTTTGGTATTTATTGATCCTTGCTTCCTAGATCGATATGTTCAGGGGTATTGATTTAAAAATTATCCCCATTCAACTCCCCTATTTACCTATGATCTTGGAGAATGACTGTGGGTCATAAAATTTATCAGATAATGGTTCCAGTTATAGCTGTTGTTCCAGAAATGGTATATTGCCTGGGAGAAACCAAATAGCTGTAATGCAGGTATCGATCTTTTTTTTTTTTTTTTAAGATTTTACTTATTTATTTGAGAGAGACAGAGAAAGAGAGCAGGGGAATAGCAGAGGAAGAAGGACAAGCAGACTCCATGCCAAGCATAGAACCCAACATAGGACTCAATCCCAAGACCCCAAGTTCATGGCCTGAGCCAAAATCAAGAGTTGAGGCTTAATCAACTCAGCCACCCAGGATCCCCACGTATACTGATTTTGGAAAAGATTTTTTAAAAATCTACATCAATGGGCCCCAGGTGGCTCAGCGGTTTAGCGCCACCTTTTTAGCCCAGGGCCTGATCCTAGAGACCCAGGATAGAGTCCCATGTCGGGCTTCCAGCATGGAGCCTGCTTCTCCCTCTGCCTGTGTTTCTGCCTCTCTCTCCCTCTCTCTCTCTCTCTCTTTCTCTCTCTCTCTCTGTGTGTGTCTCTATGAATAAATAAATAAAATATTTTTTTAAAACGTCTACATCAGTTTGTAAGGATCACCATATGCTATTTGCTTTGACCTAGAAGACCCTATAATACACCTTCACAAATTAGCTCAAATTTACTTTCTTTATATTCTAATATAATCCAAAGAACTTTTTCTGGTGCTGACATATCAAGACATATCCAGTCTGAGCCTGGATGGCTCAGTGGTTGAGCATCTGCCTTCAGCTCAGGATGTGATCCTGGGGTCCTGGGATCAAGTCCTGAATCAGGTCCCCCTCAGGGAGTCTGCTTATCTCTCTGCCTGTGTCTCTGCCTCTCTCTCTGTATCTTTCATAAATAAATACATAAAATCTTTTAAAAAATGATCATTGCACTAATCCCACATTAATGCTATATTGCTGTTTGCACCTATTCAACTAGGACCAAGTACTTAAACACATTTAGGGAGACTTTCACTTCCAAACATGTAAGTAGCAGGGACCAGATTTAGTCCACCACCTTAAATGACTAAAAACACAGACAAGGGTTGTCTCAATCAATAGAGCACACAACTCTCAATATTGGGCTTGTAAGTTGAAGTCTAACGTTGTATATAGAGATAACTTAAAATCTTAAAAAAAAAAAAAAAACAGAAAAACCCCCATAAATACAGAAAACAAATTGGCTGTTGTCAGAGGGGATAGGCAAAATGGGTGAAGGAGAGTGGGAGGTAAAAATTTCCAGTTATAGAGCACTTGGGTGGCTCAGTCAGTTAAGCATCCGATTCTTAATTTCAGCTCAGCTCATGATCTCAAGGTTCTGAGATCAAACCCAAGATTGGACTTTGTGCTGAGCATGAAGGCTGCTTAAAATTCTCTCTCTCCCTTTCCCTCTGTCCCTCCACCCCACCTCAGATAAATAAATAAATCTTTAAAAAAAAAAAAAAAAAAAACGTTGATCTCAAGACACCTGGGTGGCTCAGCAGCTGAGTGTCTGCCTTTGGCTCAGGGCGTGGTCCCAGGGTCCTGGGGTCGAGTCCCACATTAGGCTCCCTGTGAGGAGTCTGCTTTTCCCTCCGCCTGTGTCTCTGCCTTTCTCTCTGTGTCTCTCATGAATAAATAAATAAAATTTAAAACAAAAAGATGATCTTGCTCTCACTCTGCCCCTCCCTCCTTTCTCACACTGTCTCTCAAAAAAAAAAAAAAGTTTCTAGTTACAGGGGCACCTAGCTGGCTCAGTTGTTTAACTGTCTGACTCTTGGTTCTGGCTCTGATCATGATCTCAGTGTTGTGAGATTGAAGCCCAGGCTGAGCTCCATGCTGAGCCCGACGGCTGCTTAAGATTCTCTCTCTCCCTCTCCCCCTGCTTCTCCTGGCTACATGGGCACTCGATTGCTTTCTCTCTCAAAAATAAAATAAAATAAATAAATAAATAAAATAAAATAAAATAAATAAAATAAAATAAAATAAAATAAAATAAAATAAAATAAAATAAATAAAATAAAATAAAATCCAGTTATGACACGCATAAATCACGGGGCTAAAAGTTACAACATAGAATTATAGTCAATGATATCATAATAGTGTTGTATAGTGACAGATGATAGCTTAAGCTTATGGTGAACATAGCATAACAGAATTCTTGAATCACTATGTTGTACACCTGAAACCAAGTAACAGTGTATGTCAATGATAACATCGATATAAAAAAAAAAAGTGCAAGAGAAGCAATGCAGAAGAGTGGTCCCAGCGGTCCCAGGGAGAAGAAGAGAAAGTGAATCACCCAGCCACATGCCTGGAGATAGTTTCTAGATTTCAGAACAGTGAACAGAAACAGCCCAGAGTGTCCTTAAGTTGAGGAGTGTAGTTGACAATTCGGACAGATCGGGGCATCTATATTTTGCAGGGCAAAGTGTTAAGGAGGAAAGAGCTGCAAAGATATACAGGGCACTTCCCTTTAGTCTTCAGTTGAATACTGATCAACCCATGCTGTGAGAAAACTGCCATAGACCAATGAAAGCACCACTGGGTAGAAGATGCAGAATAACTCCCAGAAAATATACAAGGTTGAAAATAGTTCATATTCCCAATAATCAGAGTGGAGCAACCTTGTAATACAAAGAACTAGCGTAGAATACTAAGGATTGCCTCAGTAGTGGAGCCAATATAACTCTAGGATAAAGATAGCTATGATTTTACTTTCTTAAAAAAATTTTACTTAACAAAGCTAAAAAGCAACCCATGAATGAACCAAATTATTTCCAATAATTTAATAGTATCCTGGGTCGCCTGGGTGGCTCAGAAGTTGAGCATCTGCCTTCTGCTAAGGGCGTGATCAAGTTCTCATCCCTGCCTGGAGCCTGCTTCTCCCTCTGCCTGTGTCTCTCTGCCTCTCTCATGAATAAATAAATAAAATCTTAAAAAAAAAATTAACAGTATCCCAGAATAAACACAGTATTTAGACAATAACAACAAAAAAACCACCATCACCCACGAGTATAAAATTCACAATGTTCATCATCCAACAAAAAATTATTAGGCAGCAAATATACACGAAAATACAATCCATAATGAGGAGAAAAATCATATGATAGAAATAGATTCAGAAATGACATAAATAGGCACATATTCAATAATTTCAAACAATTACAATAAATTATAAGAATGTTGAAAGACATGGAAGGTATATATTTTTTTAATTCACAATAACTGGAGTATCTGGGTCATCAGTCAGTTAAGTGTCTACCTCTTAATTTTGGCTCAGATCATGATCTCAGGGTCATGAAATCAAGCTCTTTGTGAACACAAAGTCTGCTTGTTCCTCTGCCTGCCCCTCCCCATGCTCCTGAGCTTTCTCTCTCAAATAAATTCTTTTTGTTTTTGTTTTGTTTTGTTTTAAAGATTTTATTTATTTATTCATGGGAGACACAGAGAGGCAGAGACATAAGCAGAGGGAGCTGGATGCAGAACTTGATCCGGGAACTCCAGGATCATGCCCGAGCCAAAGGCAGATGCTTAACTGCTGAGCCACCCAGGCATCCCTCTCTCAAATAAATTTTTAAAAAACTATATAAAATTCACATATAAGTTTATTATTTTTAAGTTTTTATTTTATTTTATTTTCATTATTATTATTTAAGTAAGCTCAACACCCAACATGGGGCTTGAATTCTTTGAAATAAAGAGTCACATGCTTTATTGACTAAGTCAGCCAGATGCCCCCACATAGAACTTTGAGAGATGAAAAATACAGTGGATTGGAGCACCTGGGTGGCTTAGTCAGTTAAGCATCTGCCTTTGGCTCAGGTCATGATCCCAGGGTCCTGGGATCAAGTCCCACTTTGGGCTCCCTGCTCAGTGAAGAGCCTGCTTCTCCCTCTCCCTCTCCCTCTGCCCTT